AACCCAGATCTAATCCCGTTAAATAAAGGTAAGTGGGTGTTTTAAATGTTACTTTTTTAAAGTTGTTAAAAAGGAAAATTTCAATTTAAAGGTTAAATTAATTTTGGTAACTTTCTTAAATTTTAAAACTTTTTCATTATATAAAATACATAATCTAAATCATTTAAACATATGTAATACAACGACATTAAATTTTCAGTTTATTTTTCAACAGCTATTAAAGTGTAGTGTAAAAAAAATTCAGTGCTAACTATTTTTCTTAGATTTCTTAAGGACCATTAATTATTTTTAATTAAATTGTAAATTTTTTTAGGAACAGACTGTCCGCCGGACCCGCCGCTTTATTCTACGGTGGTCAATAAAGAGGCTAAGAACTCGAACAGTTCCCAGAGCTTAGTTAGCACTCAAACTCCTAACACACCTTTATCCCCCCTCACTCATAACTCTGAGACTCAGGTTAGTATTTCAACAGGTTTAAATCAATTAATTACACCCAAGTTCTAAAAATCAGGAATAAATTTAATGACTTACTTTGACGGCTAATCTTACTATCATACTTCTTACTAATATAAATGTATATTCTAAAATAAAATTTATCTTATAAAATTTACAATACTTGCTTTAAATGTTTTTTTGTATTTGATATATTTTCCTTTTAGATTGATCGTACTGGAATAAACGGGACAGCGAGATTACATAGAGAAGTTGTTACAACTAGAACACCATTATTAGCAGCTCATCAAGAAAGTTGTGTTTAAAAATTTTTTGTAACTTGTAAAAATTTTTTTTTTCTTAATTTTATTTTTACTATAAATAAAAATTTATTAAAATCACCTATTACTTTATTAATGTTCAAATCTTCAGACACCAAACATAAAATTTTTATTGTTGAAAACATTTTTTGTTTTTCCAAAAATTTTGTACATCTCACGGATATCACAGGATGCAAAAATTTTATGACGCTTTTTCTTTTTTTATTTAACCTGCAAATGATAAAGTGGATACCTTTATCATTCCAGCCAGCTAAAATATTTTGGCCAAGAACTGTTTTTTTTAATAATCTTTTGTAAATCCTGTTTTTTGTTTTTTTTTCTTTGGTCTATAAGAGTGTTTTATTTTAATTTATTTACTTATAAATTTCATAGTAAAAAAAATAGATAAAACCAGAGATTTCAACACACAGTGTAAGTTGAACAAACCATTCACGGTGCTTATATAGGTACTTATATTTAGGAATCCAATTTTCCATGTTTATTAGGTCTTTTAATTAAGTTACGCCATTAGAAGTTAAATAGACAACGAATAATTGGAATCAATAGATATACATGATAACGGACAAATCCTAATGCCATTGACCTCTTAGAGCGTGCGCACAACTTTGACTAAAATATCGCACAACTGTTTAGGCTCACTTCGATTGCTGAGTTTATAAAGAGTAGTGCACACTACTTATTTATTACTTGTGTCACTAAACAGTTGAGGCTGCAAAACAATCGATAATCGCACAACCGTTGTGCGATAGTTTAGTCATAAGTGTGTGTGCGTTTAGACAATCTGTAAATAAAGATAACCAGTAATGCTCAAAGAGTAAAGATCATATAATTGTTTATGATGTTAGATAAATAAATTTTCTGTAAAATATGTATTTAGTACATAATCTTTCTCATTTAGTTTTGTATATATGAAACATAATTATGTTACTTCGTCCAAATAACTTTGAATTCGGAAAAAAAATATCACAAAATTATATTGAAAATTACGTGTAAAGTACTCTAAAGAGTTAATTTGGAATCCATAAATGTAATTTAGAATAAGTTAACTTATTAAATTTTTCTAAGAAATTGACTGATGTATTGTAAATATAAAATCGTATTAAAGAATGTTAAAAAAGGTAACATAAAGATTTTTTTCTTAAATGATTTTTTTTTAATTGAAATGTACAGAAAATAAAATAATCAAATAATTGATTAGGTAGAACAGAATTGATGTTATTAACATTTTCATAGATTAAATTATAGTTATAAGGCACAAGTAATATTTATTAGAAGATTTTGTTACCTTTTTTTTTAAATGAAGCTAATCACCAAAGTTATCTATAAACAAAAAATATGTATTTTGAAGTTGTAAATTTTAGTCGTTGTTTTAAATTTGTGTCATATTATTGTATTTTTTAAATCCTGAAAATATTTGAAAAAAAGTTTTATATATTTTTTTTTGGTTAACAACAAGATTATTTTGATTCTGTATTTCACTTTTATGTTAATTATTGCATAATTAAATTATTGAAGAATAATTCATTTTATTTGAACACATGTAAAATAATTGTTTTGTTTGTATAAATATAAAAATTGCTCATGAGTAAAGATAAAATAAATTTTAAATCTACCGCAATCGTGCACTGTGTAAATTCAATTGTAATAAAGCAAATAAATTATTGCAATGAACAGAATTGCTGAATGGTGATTTTTTTTTATATGTCAATAAATTAAATGACAAACACTCCGATTTTCAATGATCCTCACATTTTTGGTTGACGAATTAAAACGAGAAATTGCGCGTTCAATCGACAACGTGCATTGTAAGGTTGAGTATTGATTTAAGTTGACATGACATTGCTAACAAAACTAGTCATGACAATGAATAAGAAATAGACTTAATTCGTAAGTAACTTTGACTTAAAAGTTACTTTAAAACTATCTCACGGTGAACTAAATAGTGAAAATAATAAAGATAGTTAATAGATATTGTCTTGTCATACCCGTAAACTGACATAAACCAGAAAGTGGTAAGATTGCTAAAAGGTAGAGAAAGGCCGAAGAAAGAAAATCGCATTAAAAAAAATTATGTCTGTCTGTCCGCAAGCCGCGTTTG